TCTACCCTTAATGTGGTGTATATCTGAGATATGTATCGGTCGACACACCCCGCGACGGATGAGCCCTGCGCAGACCTGCGGCCAGTGCGCCAAGTCCACCATAATGCTGGGCGATTTCCCGATGATCTGGTCCTCAAGCGGCAACATGAATGATTCGAAATTACGGATGTACGCCAGGGTCCCCCCCTCGCAGAAATCTTGATTGTTTTCGTCCCATAAAGTGAACTCAATGCACGCACCAATGAATCAACACAACCGGGGATTGTTGTAGATCTTTCCAGAGACGATGGCAGGGGAAGGGGAAACAAGTCCCCCGTGGACTGGCTGCAACGCATGAACCTGTCTTCTTGCCCTTTCAACGCCTCCGAAACCACATCTTCCCAGGTCACCAAAAGTGGCACCTTTTTTGCGGCACACCTTGACAAGGTTATTGCGACAGTCATCAAACGCCTGTCCCATGCTTGCTTCAGGCTGGCCGCCTTCCACCTGTCGGCACGACTCAAAGTTCAGTCGACTAGGCGGGCACGCAAAAGCCTGGGAGCGCTTTTCACCGTCGGCGCTCCCTTCCATGCAATGCTCAACACCCATCTCCTCACCAATGCCTCCAACCAAAAACGATTCAGCTGTCTGGCACTGGGAGACCGAGCTCTCCCTTGGAAGAAGCTCTTCGCAACCAACGTTCATATCAACATCCTCTTTGCCCTGTCCCATAGTAAGCCCTTGTACTGCACTCTCTGTCAACAGCCGTTCAATGTCATCCTCACCAACATTGCTCAATGCATCCATGCCCAATGTATCAACCCTTCTGCCAACCAATGCCTGCCTGCTCAATGCTGCCTCCTCGCCAAGCTCCTTTGCAGCCTTTCTTGGATCGCTTTTCTCTCCTCTGTTGGATATCTCCTTTCTCTTTTTGCTACTCAGTCTTCTTCTTTCCCTTTCCTTTGTCTCTCTTGCCCTTCTCACCTTTTCCTTTTTCTCCAACAGCCCAGACCCGCAGGGCCTTTGGGTTGCCAGACGATTGCGAAGTTCTTCGCGGGCCAGCTTTGCGGCTTCTTGACCTTCAGGTGCTTTGCTGAGGCCTGCAGAATCAGCGCTGACTAATTCCATCTGTCTTGCTACTGTCCAATGTCCACCTCGGATCTGTTGGTCCAGTGCCTTGGTTCGCTGTGCCAAGAGATCAAGGGCACGTGCGGGGTGCCCCCCGAAGGAGCAGATCTGCTCCCTGACACAACGTAAGAAGCTCCTGGCTCATCGAGGGGGAACACAACGGTTGCATCTCCAGGCGATAATATTGCGAAAATATTGGAGGCAAGGATCTGCGGTTCTGTGAGTACAGCGTTCCGCTCTGAGTCAAAAGGGCCTCCTTCATGTTGGCCACCGTCTGCGCTGCCAAGCATCCAGGACAGCGTTGGGTGAGTCTCAACGCTCGCTTCCGTGCCTCAAAAAGCCCCTCGCCGAACTCTTCACCTTCCGACTCCGTCGAAGAGCTGGAGCTGCTGCCATCCTCACTTGACGAGCGCTTCCTTTTCTTTGACTCTTTGCCACCAAGCCGCTTTGCCTTCTTCAACAGCTCGCTACGACTCTCTGCATTGGGATCCAGGGGTACCCTCATAAAGAGCCGACAGTGACTTCTGGCCCCTCTCAAGCGCACCACCATCATCCTCGCCTGGATCCTCCTGTCGCCCGCCTCGATCTTTTCCAGCCTTCTTGTCCTTTTCTTCGCCTTTCTTCTTCTTCTTTGCCTTTGCTTTCTTTTCACTGCCTCCCCTGGGAGAATCTGTCTCCCTTGCTCCTCCGGCCTGTCTCTCCTCGTGCAATGCTCTCAACTTGGCAAGCTCATCGCGCTCCTCACGCTTGGGTGGACTGTCCTCCAACAATGTATGCCAAGGGAGCTTCTGAGCCCCCACAACCCAATAGCCCGACGCATGCAACAAACTTTCCCCCGTAGGCTCCCACGTGCACTCGGGGGGGCAGATGTGGAGTTGCATTGTGCGCTTGGCAGGATCTGAAAGCATCTCAACAAGCCTTTTGGTTTGCGTCCCCGAGGCCCGACACGCGAAATTCAAGGAAGTCCTCTTCTTTTCCAAGGCCAACTATATAGCCCGCAACTTTCACGTGCCCTCCATAATAGTGAGCGTCGCCTAGTTCGATAAGGCCAAGGCACCTCAATTGTGCAGCTGCCAACTCACGCAAATAATGGAAGTGGGACACTGGGAGTTCATCTCCCTTCGAGGCAGGTTTCTTCTTGACTGCAGGAACTCGAGCTGCTGGTCTGGATTTCACCCCCAGCGCCATTTGCCGATCTCTCAACTCCTGCTTCGCACGCCTTGTAATCCTTTGTTTTATCCCACAAACCACCTGGGATGGTTGCTGTATGGGATTGGACCGACCCAGCCTCTCTGTGGGGGAGCTGGTGGGATAGGCGGAGGCGCTGGAGGGGGCGGCGGCACTGGTGGAGTATGGGGACTCCTTGGGCGAGGTGGTGTCAACGGCCTGGCCTTGCGCTCCTTCTTCTTGGCCTCACGGACCCTTGATCCGGTCACTGATGAACTCGCACTCGAAGTCTCCCTCCTCCTTCGATGCCTCTTCTTGTCCTTTTCTTTGTCTTTCTCCCTGCGGCGCCTTCTCCTCTTCTTCTTTTCTCTGGTGCTGGGAGTACCTGTGGCTGACTCCCTTGACCTGCCCCTCTCTGCTGGGACACCCTCTTCAGGATGGGTCTCTTCCTCCTCAACTGCCTCGAACTCCTCTCCGGCGCCAGGAGTTTCTGTGGCTGGTGCCGCCAAGCCTGACCCTTGGGGGTCGTGGGGCCTGCTGACCTCCTGTTCCTTTCGGCTAGGGCGAGGGCCTTTGGCCTGGGAGTTTTCCACAAGTCTCAAACTCCCTTCAGATCTGGCTGGTAACAACTGGGGAGGTGCTTTGGGCGGCGGCAGCACTCGACTGGCAGTGGTAGGGCGACTGGCTGAGGATTGGGTTGGATGCGACTCTGGATGTGGACTGTTGGTTCGGGCTGCTTTCACTGGCGGGCTGTCAACTTGTTTTCTCTTCAGGGGCTTGTCTTCTAAGGGCTCTTTCTTTTTCCACTTCGACCTGCACCGTGGGTCTGCTGCTCACGCTCCTCAATGCCCCGCAGCTCACCAACCCAATCTTCAAGCAGGCCAAAACAGCCGTCAAGGAATACCAATGCACTCTCGTCGCGATTTGCAGGGCAGACAGCACGCAACGACACTTGCAATTGGTATGCCTTTCGACAGGGTCCACACGTCTGAATGCCGCTTTCCCGGCAAACAAAATGGCGGCACCTGTCGCACACTGGGAGGGAACCTGAGTCCCCTCCCATCCAGGAACCCACTTTGAGCCCCGATGCTACGGTGGAATAGAACACTGTACTGAGTTTATTCATGGGGACATTCTTTCATAGCTAACATGGCATGTACATCCGCACGAGTGCGCACATGGCAGGCAAATCTGTATGCATCCGTTGTCGGTTCGTTTTTACGTGTACGGTGCTTTGGTACGTGGTTCCAGAGTGGTGAACATCTATAGTTTTTGGGGAGTTCGAGCTCGGTCCTTAGGGCATCAGGATTCTAACGGTGTCACAACAGTTTTGGTTTCTGACGGAGCGCCGGCGTAGCCTCCTCTGGCAAAAGAAATGAAAGTTTTGAGTAGATCTTGCGACCACAGCAAGGGCGTGTTTGTGAATCGAACCATGGCCAACCACAAATAAGAGATTGGATGCCCACACGGACGGCATTGATAATGTCTGGAAGATGGCTAAAAGAAACCTACTGTTGGTGGTGCCTTTGACACGAAAATCATGACATATGTTCGAAGTTGGCAATGGCGGGCACGGAAGACCGGTGCTCTGCGACTGCGAAGGCTTTTGCCAAACTGTCGTGAAAAGAAGCGCCACCGTCCCTTTTTTGTACATTTTCCCTGAGAAAACGACGAAGCAGCTCGTTCGTGGACTCAAATTTTGCCACCGTTTTCATGACACAAAAATACAGTGTAAAACCGCCCGAAATTGAATCCTATTGTAATTGCGATGATTTCTAGGTACTTGATCACAAAAAAAGGGCTACTGTAAAACACCCCAGTTTTCACTCCAATACAAATTCACTCAACCACACGCGCAGTTTGCACCGCGCCGGGATGTTTGTGTTCTTCCCCCTCCCAGAAGTTGCACCGGGCAAACCAGAAGCCGCGACTTTTTCATTTGGTGTCTATTTCTGGCGATCGCTGAATTGGATCTTCGATACTGACAAAGCCTTTCAAGAGAACACCTCTACAAGACATGAAAAATGTCAAGCAGAATCGAATGGCAAGCGCCTCACGATTCGTTGAGGTGGCAGCATGTATGCCATGGTGGAAAAGACGAGCCTTCACAAACAAAAGCAATCGGCAATCAATCCTAAGCAAGGAGATCCAAAAAAGAACATCTAGCTCGGTCGTCCCTCTTTGTCACAACCTGTTCAAACTCACTTGTCCCATCGTTCGATCTATCTCCCCTGCAGTACTACCCCTTTTCGGGTGTAGAACAAGATCATTCCCTTTGCCTGCTGCCGCCTCGGCATGCTTCCATTGCCACTGAATAAAGCCTTCTCTAATTCGACTTGCAAGATTCTGCTGCAAACGGATCAGTAGAGCTGTCAATCCAGCTCCGTCGTCAAATTGATTGTGTTGTCAACCGTTAGGAATTTCATGGCGGTTCTACAAGAAAGATCAAGGACATGTCAGTATTTGGGGATCAAAACAGGCCCGAGGTATGTGCAACTTAAACTCCGAGAGCAAGAGCCAAACGCCGAAAAGACCTGCAGATCTGCTCCAAACACCATGTCTTGCTCTCAGATTTGGATGCTTCTTTGTGGATAGTTGTCACTCATATTATTTATATGTCCACATACACACATGGTATCATACCAGTACCTGTACCATACACAGTCCCATTTCACAGAGAAAGACTGAGAGCATTGCCACCGGGTTCGGGTAGGACTTGTTTTTTTACTTGCAATACAGTCAATCCATACAATCCATCATGTAATCACGCTCCTCAATCGAGAGATTCTGTACATCTTCTCCCAACTGATCCAAGTCTGTGTCACGTCCACGTTTGTTGGTTGCCTTGGCCCTGTCCAAACCACGTTCGAAAGTCTTCATTTGCTCCTCCACTGAGGCCTTTCGCTTTTCTTCCAGATCTCGTCGTTGTTCCACTAGAAAGGGCACATAGCTCTCTTGAAATTCTGTGCATGCTTCCTGGATTGCTTTCTCAAAATCCTCGCCACCAGCGCCAGTGACTGCCGACACTCCTACAGATCTCAAATTCCTGTAGAATTCCTCCATGGCCAAGCTCATTGACTTTGACAGACTTGCAACATACGAGGTTTCGCGGCTTAGAGCATCCCCAAGTTTCTCGAAGTCCTCCATCCATTCTTTCAGAAAATCATGGGAGATCACATCAATCTTGTTGAAGGAGACAATGAAAGGGAGCTTGGTTTTGTACAAAATGGAGCATGCATAGAGCATGTTGGACATGAAGGTCACGGGCTTTACACACCTCGCAGTATCGACAACGTAACAAACTATAGTGGGATAGGACACAGCCAAAGCATCACAAATGATTTGGCCCGAGGCTGACCAGTTGAAAACCTCAATCTGCCCTGGAGTGTCAATCAATACAACATCCAAATTCTCTGCACGTTTATTCAGAATGTTGAGAACCTGATCGAACTTGGTGGCAAATAGATTCAATGATGTCATGATTGCACCATTCGGTCCCAGTCCAAAATGCTTCATGACCTCCTTGTAATTCACGGAGTCCCTAATGTCAATATTCACTGGATAAGCCAAATTCCGCACAGCAGGATCTAAATTCACTGTATAAACTTTCTTGTGCTTGGATAGTCGCACCACCATCCGATGCATCAACGTTGACTTCCCGCTCCCAGCCATTCCAATCATCAGAATCACCACAGGGGACTTTGGGATCTTCACATCTGCGGAGGACGAGGCAGCCATGGAAACTTTGAGTGGTGAAAAGCTTGTATTGAAAAGCTTGCCAATCGTGTTCCAGGACCTGGCGTGCCCTTTCACATTCCCCTTTCTACAGATCGACAAGATATGAATAGCGCAAAAAATGCTTCTTGACGAGGTAGCACTTTCTGACAGTGAGAATTCATGACACTCCTTGCATTCTATGCAGAGAAATTAATGTGGTGTGAGTGGGTTCTTGCAGTTCTGATGTACTGTACTTGATGTGAAGGAAAGGAGCTGGGCAGCAGCTGGACTCCATGACTATATCAGCACATAGATCAATTTGTGTGCCGTGCGCACTTATAATTGTTGCTTATTGGTAGGTTGTTGGTGTATATGTCAAAAGCTTATCGTCAGTTACAGTTCAACTCTGCGCTCTTTCTTGCTCTCAAGCGCCGGTAGAATGTCTGAAGTGTATTTCTTCTGCACTCTGTCCAACCAAAAAGGTTCTGCTCGCTGACTGTACATAGTCATCTTACATCAAGAGATCTTATGCCTTATGCAGCAGAGTCTTCTGTCCAGGCTGCGACAGCACCTTTGTCCCACAGAAAAGTTCGTTGTTTTAGTCTTGCTTGGGAGCCTGCAATAGCAGCCTTGTGTTGGTCTTGTCTTGTCTCTTTCCTGTTCATCCACAAAAGTGCCAGTCGGGCACGCGAAGCAAGTACTTCACCAGGCATGGCCTAGTCGCGATCGACGGGTGCAATGGATGTCCAAAGACCCAAGTTGGTCAGGCGTTGGTGATAATCTTCTGCAGCCTCGAGCCACTTGCAACACGGAGAAAATCGCTTTGTACACCAGTACACCATTCAATGGACTTTGCAAATATCTTTGCTTGACTTGCCTTCTTGAACGAGTTGATGACCTCAGCAGAGACAATTATATATATACATACTCACATGCTCGACCGAAGCCCCAACATATGAACAACTTGCCATTGCTGGTGACTGGGTCACTGTCATCAAACTCACAGTTACGAAAGATAATGCGATGATTTTGTAGGACTTGGGTGTCTGCAGACAACGCTAAGACTCGCCTCCACGACTGCATCCAATATGTAAGCTATCCATCATCAACAAGTTTGGCTGGCTAACAGAAATTGCATGGCGTGAGATCAGCTGCTCCACATGTAGGTGGAGTCCCTGAAAAGGCCATCACATTGTGGAGGCACTTTTTTGCTTTTGAAGAAATCAAAGGAATGCCGGAATGCCGTACATTTGCGAAGTCACTTGTATTTTTGTCATCCTTTGTGACTTTCACACTCCAATCCGTTCAGCTGGCGAGCTTGGAAATTCCCAATGATGCAGCAAATGTGCCCAGGGCTTGTTTGATTGTCCACTTCCCCATAATTTAAGAGCAAGGAGAAGAATCTTCAACTGCAGAATGCTGTTGGAATCTAACTCTAACGTGTAGTGCAAGCAAAAAGCCTACAACTGCTGTGGACTTGCTGAGCAGGGGGCCACCGCAGTGCCAACTGGATTTGCCATGGCACTTTCCTGGTAGCGTTTCAACCGGCTGGTGTCAAATCGGTTCCAAGCTGCAATGTGATATTCGCTGGATCTCACCTTTCAAATTGTCCTAGTCTTGCTTTTTCGTATATACATTTTTGTCGTAATGTCAGAGGGACTGAGCGTCCAGCAAAGAGTCTGCTCGAGACCTCATATGCCTTGCCTCTTGACAGCAAAGGCACCCCCCTCAGATAGCACCTCCAGGCAAGTACAGCAAATGGAGCACACACAGTTTGGAGCAAACCAGGCGAGCCAGGCCCTGGGCCTCACCCATTCTCTTTTGAGCCTAGCCTCTGCATATTGTTCGAGCGTCAAGGCACACTTCCCATCCTGGCTAAAGGACAAGTCGTTTAACGGACCCTAACACAATGCAAGGCCAAGTCAAGTATTGGGCAAACTCCTATGCATATCATTACAAGATATTTGTTCGACGAATCTTTTGGATATGGCGCCTTGGATCTGATTCCAGCCCCAGGTTCAACACCGTCCTGCCGCGAACGTTTATTGCCCACACAATGCATTTTGCAAACCATTCAAACCATCGGACTAAAGATATAGATACTGTACAGTGTATGATATATGTGTGTGCACACATGTTTTGCTTATGCGTGATTCGGCAATGCTGCGAGAAGGACAACATGGAGGAGCTGTCCCAAACAGGTTCACTCCGAGTTCCTTGCATTTAGATGTTTGTTGTAAGTCTGGTTAGTCTGGTTAGTCTGGTTCTCAGGCTATCGAGCCTTCAGGCAAGTGCAAATCACGCGCCGCAACCCAGGGATTTTGCACCACCTAGGACAACAAGGATTTCGGTCGTTGAGTGAACGTCGTCAAGCGCAATTCCTCCGTCCATCAGACACTCTGCTTTGAATCGAATTGTGTCAAGCTTCTGACGGCATCTTGCAGTTTCTAATCGGAGCATGCACCAGTACTACCCACATGTCCTAACCGTGCGAAAGTGCCACAGGGGCACGAAAAAAACAGAACTGCACAACGCCAATCAAACTTGGTAGAACATAGAACGTGTAAACATGTGTAAAATTGTTTCAGGTCCTTCGATGTCTTGGTCTCCTCTTCCTCCTCTGTCTTCTTTCCGGTCTTTTTTTTCTGAATGATGTCAATGTCAAAGTCTGTGGCCGCTGCCGCCTAAAGTTTTCTTCCCAAAGTCAAACACAAGAATACCGTTAATAATGTGTGATTTGATGTAAGCCACCTATCTGAATCTTGGATCCAAGCACGCCGACGAGCACCTGCAGCGATGTCCGGCTACAAACGGCAGGATTGATCACCGAACGGCAGGATTGATCACAGCGGCCAGTCCAACAACTCATGATTCCAAACAGAGTGCGGATGTGTTATTCCGAAAAACAAGATTGACATGTTATATATCCTTCTTTGTTTTTAAGTTGTGTCAAATACGCCGCTATGTATTTCATTTCAATGTCTACGATGATGCGCATGTGTCTCAGCTGCAGCACGGGAGCGATGACGGGAAACCGCCCAGGAGACAAACATCGAGCACAGGGACCTTGGAAACTTGGCTGTGCATCTCAAAAAGGAAAGTGCTATATTGGAGGCCATCGCTCTTCGGTTGGAGGCCATTGCGGCCATCGCTCTTAGGTTGGAAGCCGTTGCTATTAGATGTTGCTATCATGTTGTTTTCAATAGCATAGTATAGCTTCAGTGTAGCTGCAAGACTCTTCCGAAAAGAAAATGATAAAACACCTTGGCGTAGAACCTAAAAAATCTTCACTGGCAGCGGTCAACCAAACAGCAGCAGAGATCAGCCACTAGGCTAGCTTGCTGCGCAGTGCAAAGTTCATGCCACTGTGCGCTAGTTACCATCTGCCTCATGCACCTGAAATTCCTGTGAACTCTGTCACGGCCCTCATGGTATCTGGCACACAGTAGCTACAAGGTCGAATCTGCCTCATGGCTCGGTTGGCCACGTGATGGCGGTTCTCACTATGGTAACATTCGCCCGTTTGGGAAAGGAACCAGCGCTTTCGATCCATCACGAACTTCACGCTGCTCATCTGTTCCTTCATCTTCTCATTGCATTCTCTCACCCTTCTTTGCCACAGCACTACGCTGTCACGGCATAGTTTCAGGTCTTCTTCCAATCTTGCGATCTCCACTGTCTTGTCACCATCGTTTCCACTTCGTCGTCGAAGCTGACTGGCCAGTTCGAAGTTTTCTTCTCAAAGTGCATCGATCTGGCCCCTGAGATTGACATTCATGTCAGCGAGCCTCAAATATTCATTCATCATCCTGTCTTTTCTTCAGTCACTTCTTTCATTTGTTCTTCCTTTTCTGCAATGGCCACCTCTAGGTGCACAATCTGCCATTGCACGTTCACCTTGTCAATGTCTGTCTCGTCTTGTGACTTAATTACGGCTGTTCTGGCTGTTCTTCTTCTTCTGGTCAGCGTGAACTCGTCTTCCATTGAACCACTGTCTTCCTTTCTCCCATAGCCATCGTGTCAAGCTCAAGGCCCCGATAGCTGCTAAGCAGTCTGCTAAGCATACCAGTGTGAGCAATGGCCGAATCCACCATGATTCATCGTTCATCTCATTCTCCTTTGCCTCATGCATCTCTGATGCCTTGCCGCCTTGCAGCATTGTCAAAGCCAGGACCAATGCGATCCTTGCATGTCCACCGACTGCCTTTGCCAGTTTGCCGATGTTCTTCTTCAATTCTTCCTTGGCATGGATTTGTTCGGATTCCTGACTGCCAATCTTTTCATTGTCTCCATCCACCATCTTGATGAGGTGCTTCAGGCCTTTCATACGCGCTTTGCTCAAGATCTTCGCGCCAACGTCGCTCACGTTGATGGCCGTAGGCACTCCGGTGATCCTTAGCTCCTTTGCGTGTGTCTTTTCTTGCAGCCATAGAAGTCCAGCTGCGATGCGTCGGGTCCTCCCGACTCCAATCCGACCTTGCTGAAGAGTCGCTCCTGCAGACCATATTGATCTCATCTCCTGTCAGGAAGGACCAGCAATGCTTGATGAAGAGTCCGTCACTGCATCCTCCAACCATGGCCACATCCTCGCTCTCGCCGGAGGAAAGTGCTATGCCATGCTATGCATCTCTGGCATCGAACATAGGACTCCATCAGCCCTCCATTCAAGTACAGTTGAACTGAACTCACTGATCTCCTTGTCATTGCTGGCCTGCATATAGTCAGCATCGCAGATGCAAGTTGGCCTTGGATTCATCTTCCCATACGTGTAGTAAATCCTCTTGACATTCAGGACACTTCTTCCTTTCGGGCCATACTCCAACAAGATGCATTCGTCGATGGTGCCCAGCAGGTAGGAGCTCACGCGTTGCATGGCTCTCCAAGCTTTCTTGGTTGGCTTCTGCGTCAGACTTGCCTATCCTTGGGCCACGAACTGAATGTCCGGACGATCCGGGGAAATGTATAAGAGCTTCCCCACAGCACTTCTGTAGCTGGTGACATCTTCATTGGCCATCGGCTCATCTTCTTTGCTCAGCTTTGTGAAGTTTCCATCCCCT